CCTTCTTCTTCTTCTTCTTCTTCTTCTTCTTCTTCTTGATGACATCTACCTGAAGAGGAAAAGCAAAGAGAGAAAAACAAAAGTTCAAACTCTTAGAATATTCTGGAGACTGTTTTCAAACTTGCTACTGAGTTGAAAGTATTTTAAAAGAAATTTTTCTTTAACATTCTCCGTGCGACAGCTCCTTATTGATTTACGCTGTGATCAACTACTCTCTTTCTTGTTCCTCCTGGAGTCCTTTTGAACAGATTGGCGGGAGATTTGACTGAGCTCTAGTTAAGCTTAGGCTACTGAAAATCGAGACGAAATGTAACATCAAAGAGTCTACATAACAAGAGGGGCCACTACTCTCTTTGAACCAATTAAAAAAGTGTCCTCAAAGTTCGGTGGTGCCCTTTGCGAACAGAGTTACCCTACTTGAGTTTAAAAAATCAAAGCGAAACTAGCAAGTTTTTAAATATATTTCGGAAGAACGCTTTTTAAAAAATGGTAACCATGACAAAAAAAATCTCCTCCGGAGAAAGGGTGATTGTTTTCTTCGTTTAATTTGACTTTTTAATGAAAGGCGAGAGGTCATTAAAATTTTAAAAAAGCCCCTAAAACTCCGCACTGAACGAACCCGAAGTGATGATGAACAGCAGTCGATCTGCGCACGCAAGGAGGTTCTATTCCTATTCTTCTTCTGGAAAAACGAAAGAGAGCTTAAAAACAGACCGCAGCGCCATCTGAAGCAAAGAGCTGACTTCCGCCGGACACTTTTTTGGCTGAGTGGCCCATCTTGTTATGTACTATCTTTGGTAACATGTTTAGTCTAATTGTATTCTATACTGTAGGCGATTACACCAAGTTGAACTTTAACAAGGAAATTTAGTAGAATACTAGTCGTTGTTCCCCGGTTGCTATTCCCCGGTAAAATGACGTCAGCAGTCGCTGTTCCCCGGCGCAGCCCCCCACTCGAAAGCAAGCTCTATGCGCTTTGCACTAAATAGAAGGGAAAGGGAAGGGTAGATAGTGGAGATAAAAGCAGACGACAGAACATATTTAGAGAGCAGGAAAGGAGGTGAAATGAGAATATTTTAGAGAAAAAATGTTCTGTCGCTGTTAAGTTTCGATCCCGGGATCTATTGAATAAACACCGTCACCTCAAGATCACGAGAGCACCCTCTTTGCTTTCGGCTTCCTTTTTATGACAACAATACTGAGTTCTTTGTACTCGAAATGATGTTTCCGAGGGTAGATAATACATTAAACTCGAACTATAAAAAAAGCCGTTAATTGAGACGTCGATTTCTTTCTGATCCCTAAGGTGAAAGTCGCGCTGTACAAGGGCGGGGTGGAGCTGCACCACATCACCTTCGACGGCTCGTCCTCCAACTTGACATCCTGGTTCTCACCAGACAGGATCCTGGACACGTCCTGGGACGACCCTCAAAATGCCACCTATTTCGCCCTGGAAGCTCACCGGTTCCTCATCTACGGACCTTACAACGGCTGTCCCACGGACTACGGCTGGATGCTGGTGGTGGACTCTCCCCAGGACAACTGTCCCAGTATCCTGTCAAACATGCCAACCTGGCCACGCTTTATCTACTCAACGGCTACAACCCGAGTAACGTGGTCTGTGGGCGGCTCGGGTGTGGGACACGCCGAGGTGTTTGCCGTCTTTGTGAAATTGGCAACACGCTGAGTGGGATTTTTTTTCCTTTTGTTGTCGTGGTAGAAGCTTCTGAGCACAACTATTTTCTTCAATTTCTCAAGTTATTTTTTTCACCGTTTAAAGTTTCGAAAGTTCATAAAAATACATGCTTTTGGTGAGAAGTAAAATGCAATAAAAAAAAACAACACAATTTTGAGACAGTGAATCACCCTGTGGAGTACTATAATATTATGTCGTTGTACAAGTATTTCCTTTGTGAAGGCTCAGCTTTCAAAATAAAGCCATTGCTATGTTTGTATTTCTCTCGTGATTCAGCTTCGCCAGATCGTAAATGAAGTGAGTAGTAAAGTTTGGTATGATAAATGCCATGAGTATGTTCAGCCTATTACATAAAGTATTTTTAAAGGACTCACTCTGCTGTCCAACTTTACATTATTCTTCGCTTATTTTGGGAATTTCCGAAATGAAAAATTGACTGTAATATTACCATGTGGAAGCCTACATTTTTGTCGAACATGATGTTCATAGAGAGGGAACCAAGCCTTTTCCTTATAAAAACTTTTTCGATCAATGTTACGAATGTTCTCACACCATCTGTCCCGGTGACGACAATACCAAGTGGGGCTTCATTATTTTTAAGCAAGACATTTTTATAGACAATGGTATCTGACCACCACGACTGTTGGTTACATCCACGTGTTTGTTAAAAGGACATCACGTCACCTGGTCTTCTTAGTGTCCATATATTTTAAAAATTGGTAAAACTCCTCTTCAGTAGTTCATCAAAATAAGATTTTGGTATGGAGAAAAATGCAAGTTGACTTTCAGGACGTTAATTTTTAGACTTTGAACCATTCTGTAGTGTACAAGATAAACATGTTTTTAAATGGTTGAGCCAAAAAGTCTAGAGGTCGGAATTCCTGTGCTGGTGAGCCGTGGGCAACGACTTGGACGCGTTCCTTTACGACTTGGACATTAAATTACTTTTTGGCAATTGCGGAAAACAAGTCTCCTTCACTGGAATTTCATTCATTCGATGAAAAACTATCGAAATATGTTCACTTGTTTTGATCGAATGACCAAATAATAATAATAATAATAAAAATAATAATAATAATAATAAAAATAATAATAGCAACAACAATAATAATATTTGCTTTAATATAGTACATATCCATGCTCTAGAGCATATTCTCACACGCTTTACAACTATTACTATCCCAGCAGACCCCATGAGAACACCCAGAAAAATTCTGAGCATCCACGGAAGCATATAGTGCAAGCTCCGGATTTCACGGGCTCAGACACTATCAAACTGACAAGATATATCACTGTCTATATCCGGGTACTCATTTCCGCCTGGGTGAAGTGAGGAAACTTTGTGCAAAATACCTTTCCCAAGGTCACAGCATCGGCCCCCTGACGAAATTCGAACTCACGACCTTGTGGTTGCCAGTCCGAGAGCTTAACCACTATGGCACATATTAGTGATGTAAATGTCAATTTTAGATTTCGAACCAAAATAGAGACCCGGCATAGTGGGTTTACCCTCATTGGAGATTAAAAAAAAACTTCCTAAAAATAAACTAGTGAGATGTGTTGCGTCAGAAACAATATTCAAAAGCGGTGTATAATACTTTCTCTTAACCCTTTCAACAATTCTTTGAATAGTCAACTTTCAACCATGAGGAAACCTAGTCTGTCTAGATAATTCAATTTTAAAAATATATGGACGCTAAGAAGACCAGGTTACATGTGACGTGATGTCCTTTTAACAAACACTTGGATGTAATCAACAGCCGTGGTGGTCACATACTATTGTCTATAAAAATGTCTTGTTTAAAAATAATGAAGTAAATGAAGAAAACCAATCATAGGATTCCAGAAATATCAAGTTTTTATTATTTCAACCAAAATTGAGTGAAGTGCAAAATATTGCAACATCTTAAAAATCAACCATATTTTTATTGCTCCATTTTAAATAGTCACTATTGCGCATAGTGAAGAACACATTTATACAAAATTAATATTGCCAAATAAACCAATGAAGATGACGGCTATTTGAAGCTTAAGGTGTTGACCATTTCTCTCGCTGCAAGTTCTGTATGCCACAGGGAATTTTGAATGACCGCGTGGCGTGTTTCTGGACCGATTCTTTGGACGTTATGTTCAACATGTGCGATTGCCCGCGGGTTGTTACCCTAGACTCTGTACATAAAAAGCCCAAAGGTAATAATTGTAAGGGCTCAAGTTAGGTAGAAATTCCCAGTGGTGACCATTCATTTGTAAAATTTTGGCTTATAAGCGTTCTGTAAACCTTTCATACAACAACACTCTTGACTTCTGGGGGTGTGGGTTCATCTTACGGGAACCAGTCCCCTACAGCATAACGCCCCCTCCCCAAATTTCTACAAAACTTTCTCATCACAGTGAGATCTGATCTGACTGTCGTGGTTTTGCTGTCCTTGTCCTGGAACCAGAACGTGCCGATTACGTCCGTGAGGCTGAACGTTTTAATTTAAAGAAGTAAGAGTTTGCGTTTTACCCTGTTTTAGTTGAAAATTTTAAAACTTGTTGTCTCTAACACTTTTAATAATTCTTTTCGTATTTTCAGACTTGATGTCCTCTTGGTTAAATTTTGTTTGTTTGAAGTTTGTTGAAATTGATGCAGAGTTATTGCCCTTTAAATGGTTCCTCTCTTTATTCAGAAACCCTGTATTGAAGGAAAAATTCGGGGGGGGGGGTGACAGTTTTTACTGGTGAATTGGTGTATACCTTGAACAGGTGGTGATAAAACAAAGACTGCACTGATTTATCAACTTTAAAATTCAGATAACAATATTTTGTTCACTTTTTAAATGAAAGAGGTAAGTGTGGACATGCCCATTGAGGTTGTTTTCTATGGTAGCACCCAAGTAGTTACAATCCACGCTTGCTCGACATTTTCATGTTTAATTTGGAGTGGCTGCTGGGGCATTTCTTCTTATAAGCTGCTACGAGTTTCACACCACTCAGAAAGTTGAATATAAAAATCGGATAAGCAGTTTCGTCATAGTTAGCCTGAGTGAGCCCGACTATGGCCGAATCGTCCGCAGTTTATCAACTTGATATGTTCCACCTTTCTATCTCATGTGTGCCACCCAGTTATCTCCATTTTAAGCTGGTCTTTTAAATACGTCCTTGAAAGAACACGCAATACTTTTAAAATAACAATACATCAAAGTAATAACATAAACTCATGATTCCACTCTACAAGGCTTCCTAACTAAGTATGAGAATGAATACAGGCGCCCAGTAAATGTTTGCAAATTAATGTGATAACAGCTTCCTTTTTAGTAAATGTACGGGAAAAAATGAGGAAGAGGAGGTTGTACACTCCTACAAATATCTTGAAGTTATCATTGACAACACGTTAGCCTGGTATGCCAACGGTGATCTAGTGTATTTAAAAAAAAAAAAATCAAAGAGATGAGAAATTTTGCTTTTGACAACAAGACTATGTCCTTTACATTTTTTTTTACATAATTTTTTTTATACTATTTCAGGACCGTAAGTTATTCTTGTTTTAGTGTTTGCTATTGGGCTGGAAACTGTAGGGTGCAAGACAAAGAAAGCTTTGACTGAATCAATTAAAAACCAGAGAAATCTCTCGATATGATATTAACAGAAGTTAATAACTATATAAAATCAAAAGTAAAAAAAAAAGATAAACAGCATTTCAACGATCAGTCAGTCTGCCTTTTGGAACAATTTGTAAGATCACGCAGAGGCAGATACATAGGACCATTTTTCAAAGAAGAAATATACAAAAGAAGCCTCCGACCATTTGTGACAAGGCTGCAGTTAAAATAAAAAAAAATGTTTTGCTAATGTTTAATTTGTTTTATTTATGCGCATGGCGTGTTAATAATATTATCTGTATTATTCTAAAGAAGTGGGATAAATTCCAGAACACGGTTTGAAAGGTGCATCTGATATGATATGTTGTATTATTGTCATCTTATTTTCTCTTCAGATTGAATTTTTAATAAAGTAATGTATAACTAGAATTTTATCTACATGACTGTGTTTTACCCTTTCTGTACACTAACAGAAAAACTTCCCACTGGGACAAAAACTATCACCTTATTTTATCTTATCTTATTGTCCTTAATTTGGCAGTCGTTTGTATGCAGTGTAAAATTGGACACAAAACACATCCTTGAGACAGACAGACAGACAGACAGACAGACAGACAGACAGACAGACAGACAGACAGGCAAACAGACAGACATAGTTGCATCCAACCCCTGATCCTAACGCCAAATGCAGCAAGCCAACATTTTCTACCCGCCTAATTAGTGCCACATAATTTTCTTTCTTTCTTTTTTGTTTGTTTCGGGCGCGATTCTACCTCGTTGTGACTCATCCATTTATAGCTCCCTGAACTATCTACGTTGTACCGATGGTGGCTTTCTGGTACTCCACAAAATAAAGCATCTTACAAAGCAATCAAATCAATGAAATGCAACTACAATCTGAGAATAAAGAAAGGAGTTTATTTCGTCATCATCAACATTATCATCATCATCATCATCATCATCATCATCATCATCATCATCATCATCATCATCATCATCATCATCATCATCATCATCGTCGTCGTCGTCGTCATGAAACAGATAACAAAAATAACAACAGAACAACAGCTACAATGACAATAATGTTGATTATGTCAATGATGACAAGGATATTGATGGTAATAATAATTTTAATAATAATAATTATTATTTTCATTATAATTCCTATGTTTCTCTGCTGTCCATTGGAGCAAAGAAACTGAGCCCCATTTGTCAAAACGTAGTAGTCTGCATAATAGTTCACATCGGAACTTTCCCCCCTCAAGTCCAGGTCAATCAGCCCGTCTGCACGTTTCAGTACTGCAAACCTGTCAATCCAAGAAACAGAAAAAAATGTTAATAAATAAATAAATAAATAAATAAATAAATAAATAAATAAATAATAAATAAATAAATAAATAAATAAATAAATAAATAAATAAATAAATAAATAAATAATAAATAAAGAAAGAAAGAAAGAAAGAAAGACAGAATTAAAGAATTAAAGAATTAATTAATTAAATAAATAAATAAATAATGAATTTGAGCGTCCCCCATCAGGTCCAGGCCAACAGATATGTCTACAGGTTTCAGAACTGCTATCTTGTCAATCAAAGTAACAGTAATACATAAATGAATACATAAATAAATAAATAAATAAATAAATAAATAAATAAATAAATAAATAGAAGAATA